TGTCCCCGTGTCCCTGTGTCCCCATGTCCCTGTCCCCGTGTCCCTGTCCCTGTGTCCCCATGTCCCTGTCCCCGTGTCCCTGTCCCTAACTGTATCTTTCTGTGTCCCCAGGTGACGTACCAGCTGAAGATCCTGACCACAGCCCTGTTCTCTGTTCTCCTCCTGGGCACGTCCCTGTCCCTGTGACACTGTCCCTGTCCCTGTCCCCGTGTCCCTGTCCCCGTGTCCCTGTCCCCGTGTCCCTGTCCCCGTGTCCCTGTCCCTAACTGTGTTTCTCTGTCCCTTGTCCCCAGGTGACGTACCAGCTGAAGATCCTGACCACGGCCCTGTTCTCTGTTCTCCTCCTGGGCACGTCCCTGTCCCGTTTGCAGTGGCTGTCCCTGTGTCCCTGTGTCCCTGTGTCCCTGTCCATGTGTCCCTGTCCATGTGTCCCTGTCCCCGTGTCCCTGTCCCTAACCCTGTCCCCTCTGTGTCCCCAGGTTGTACCAGCTGAAGATCCTGACCATGGCCCTGTTTTCTGTTCTCCTCCTGGGCACGTCCCTGTCCCTGTGTCCCTGTCCCCATGTCCTTGTCCCCGTGTCCCTGTCCCTGTCCCCGTGTCCCTGTCCCTAACCCTGTCCCCTCTGTGTCCCCAGGTGACGTACCAGCTGAAGATCCTGACCACGGCCCTGTTCTCTGTTCTGCTCCTGGGCACGTCGCTGTCCTGCCTGCAGTGGCTGTCCCTGTGTCCCTGTCCCCGTGTCCCTAACCCTGTCCCTTCTCTCTCTCTGTCCCCAGGTGACGTACCAGCTGAAGATCCTGACCACGGCCCTGTTCTCTGTTCTCCTTCTGGGCACATCCCTGTCCGTCTGTCCCTGTCCCTGTCCCCGTGTCCCTGTCCCCTCTGTGTCCCCAGGTGACGTACCAGCTGAAGATCCTGACCACGGCCCTGTTCTCTGTTCTGCTCCTGGGCACGTCCCTGTCCCCGCGTCCCTGTGTCCCTGTCCCCGTGTCCCTGTCCCTGTGTCCCTGTCCCTGTGTCCCTGTCCCTAACCCTGTCCCTTCTCTGTCCCCAGGTGATGTACCAGCTGAAGATCCTGACCACGGCCCTGTTCTCCGTTCTCCTCCTGGGCACGTCGCTGTCCCTGTGTCCCTGTCCCCGTGTCCCTGTGTCCCTGTGTCCGTCCCTAACTGTGTTTCTCTCTCTCTGTGTCCCCAGGTGACGTACCAGCTGAAGATCCTGACCACGGCCCTGTTCTCCGTTCTCCTCCTGGGCACATCCCTGTCCCGCCTGCAGTGGCTGTCCCTGGCCCTGCTCTTCGCGGGGGTGGCTCTGGTCCAGGCCGAGGGCGCTCGCGGCGCGGGGGGCGCGGGGGGGGCGGCCCTGGCGCCCTCGGTGCCCCCCGAGGGGCCCCCCCAGAGCTACGCCGTGGGGCTGGCGGCCGTGGCCGCCTCCTGCCTGTCCTCGGGCTTCGCCGGCGTCTACTTCGAGCGGCTGCTCAAGCGCTCGGGCGGCTCCATCTGGGTGCGCAACGTGCAGCTGGGCGCCGTGGGCACGGCCGTGGGGCTGGGGGCCATGCTGGCCGCCGAGGGCTCCTCCGTGGCCGCCCTGGGCTTCTTCTACGGCTACAACGGCGCCGTGTGGGCCGTGGTGGTGAACCAGGCGGCCGGGGGGCTGCTGGTGGCCGTGGTGGTCCGCTACGCCGACAACATCCTCAAGGGCTTCGCCACCGCCCTGTCCATCGTGGCCTCCACGGCCGCCTCGGCCCAGCTCTTCGGCTTCCGCCCCCGCGGGCCCTTCCTGGCCGGCACCGCCATGGTGCTGGTGGCCGTCTGCCTCTACGGGCGGCCCCGCGGCCACGACAGAGGGGGACACGCCGGGGACAAGTCAGTGGCGGCCTAGGGACGGGACGGGGGGGACGGGACGGGGGCCTGGGGGGGCCTGCTGGGGCTTCCTCGGGTGGTGGGGGCTCCTTAGGGCTCCTTAGGGCTGGTGAAGGACCTGCTGGGGCTCGTTAGGTCGTGGGGGCTCGTTAGGGCTCGTTAGGGCTGGTGAAGGACCTGGTGGGCTCGTTAGGGCTGGTGAAGGACCTGCTGGGGCTCGTTAGGTCATGGGGGCTCGTTAAGGCTCATTAGGGCTGGTGAAGGACCTGGTGGGGCTCGTTAGGTCGTGGGGGCTCCTTAGGGCTCCTTAGGGCTGGTGAAGGACCTGGTGGGGCTGGTTAGGTGGTGGGGGCTCGTTAGGGCTGGTGAAGGACTTGGTGGGGCTGGTTAGATGATGGGGGGCTCGTTAGGTGGTAAGGGCTCGTTAAGGCTCTTTAGGGCTGGTGAAGGACCTGGTGGGGCTCCTTGGGTGATGGGGGCTCATTAAGGCTCGTTAAGGCTGGTGAAGGACCCGGTGGGGTTCATTAGGTGGTGGGGGCTCGCTGGGGCTCACTGCGGTCAGTGGGGGTCACTGGGGGTCAGTGGGGGTCACTGGGGCTCGCTGGGGGTCACTGGGGCTCGCTGGGGGTCACTGGGAGTAACTGGGGCTCGCTGGGAGTCACTGGGGATCACTGGGAGTCACTGGGGCTCGCTGGGAGTCACTGGGAGTCACTCGGGCTCACTGGGAGTCACTGGGGCTCACTGGGGGTCACTGGGAGTAACTGGGGCTCACTGGGAGTCACTGGGGGTCACTGGGAGTCACTGGGAGTCACTGGGAGTCACTGGGGCTCGCTGGGGGTCACTGGGAGCCGCTGGGAGTCACTGGGGATCACTGGGAGTCACTGGGGCTCACTGGGGGTCACTGGGAGTCACTGGGAGTCACTGGGGCTCGCTGGGGGTCACTGGGAGTCACTGGGGCTCGCTGGGNGTGTCAAACCAGCTGAAGATCCTGACCTTGTCCCTGTCCCTGTGTCCTTGTCCCTGATCATGTCCCTGTCCCCCAGGTGACCCTGTCCCCATTTCTGTCCCCAGGTGATGAACCAGCTGAAGATCCTGACCTTGTCCCCGTGACACTGTCACTGTCCTTGTGTCCCTGTCCCTGTGTCCCTGTCCCCATTTCTGTCCCCAGGTGATGAACCAGTTGAAGATCCTGACTTTGTCCCTGTGACACTGTTCCTGTGTCCCTGTCCCTATCCCTGTCCCCATTTCTGACCCCAGATGATGAACCAGCTGAAGATCCCGACCATGGCCATGTTCTCCATTGTCCTCCTTGGGACATCCCTGTCCCTGTGTTCCTGTCCCTGTCCCCAACCCTGTCCCCTCTGTGTCCCCAGGTGACGAACCAGCTGAAGATCCTGTCCCTGTCCCTGTGTCCCTGTCCCTGTGTCCCTGTCCCTGTGTCCCTGTCCCCAACCCTGTCCCCTCTGTGTCCCCAGGTTGTACCAGCTGAAGATCCTGACCACGGCCCTGTTCTCTGTTCTCCTCCTGGGCACGTCCCTGTCCCCGTGTCCCTGTCCCCGTGTCCCTGTCCCTGTGTCCCTGTCCCTAACCCTGTCCCCTCTCTCTCTGTGTCCCCAGGTGATGAACCAGCTGAAGATCCTGACCACAGCCCTGTTCTCTGTTCTCCTCCTGGGCACATCCCTGTCCCTGTGACACTGTCCCTGTGTCCCTGTCCCTGTGACACTGTCCCTGTCCCCATGTCCCTGTCCCTGTGTCCGTCCCTAACTGTATCTCTCTGTGTCCCCAGGTTGTACCAGCTGAAGATCCTGACCACGGCCCTGTTCTCTGTTCTCCTTCTGGGCACATCCCTGTCCCTGTGTCCCTGTCCCCGTGTCCCTGTCCCTGTGTCCCTGTCCCTAACTCTGTCCCCTTTCTGTCCCCAGGTGACGTACCAGCTAAAGATCCTGACCACAGCCCTGTTCTCCGTTCTGCTCCTGGGCACGTCGCTGTCCCTGTGTCCCTGTCCCTAACCCTGTCCCCCTGTCCCTGTCTCCGTGTCCCTGTCCCTGTGTCCCTGTCCCTGTGTCCCTGTCCCTGTGTCCCTGTCCCTGACCCTGTCCCCCCAGGTTGTACCAGCTGAAGATCCTGACCACGGCCCTGTTCTCTGTTCTGCTCCTGGGCACATCCCTGTCCCTGTGTCCCTGTCCCCGTGTCCCTGTCCCTGTGTCCCTGTCCCCGTGTCCCTGTCCCTGTGTCCCTGT